AGGAAGTGCATAAAAAGCATATTACCAAAAAAACCACGTGTGGATTTCAAAAACTTTTGCACCAAAACAAACTTATCTTTTAATTCCATATATACATATCAGTAATGAACCAGGCACAGTTCCCCTTGTAAATTTCCTTGGCTTTCTTTCTGTATGCCTCTCACCTTAAATGACGCACAAAATAGGGGGGAAATCCTTCAGCTACACAAGCTATACTTGTGTTCTTGTCCCAGCTGTAAGTCAATTACCCTCTCTAGATATAATTTCCTTGCTCTTCTTAAATAAAAGTGCTGGGGCTGGCACTGTGGCAGAGCGGGTAAAGTTATTGCCTGTTGTGCTGGCATCCCATATGGGTGCCAGTTCGAGTCCCGGCTGCTCCACTACCGATCCGGCTCTCTGCCATGGCCTGGGAAGGCAGTGGAAGATGGTCCAAGTCCTTAAGCCCCTGCACCCACATGGGAAACCTGGACAAACTCCTGGCTCTGGCTTTGCATAAGCTCAGCTCCAGCCATTGTGGCTAATTGAGGAGTGAACCAGCAGATGGAATACCTCTCTCTCTGTCTCTCTCTCTACCTCTCCTCCTCTCTCTGTGTAACTCTTTAAAAAAAAGATTTATTTACTTATTAGAAAGAGTGCTAAGACCAGTCTCTAAGAATTTCTCACATGGACTTTTGCAGTAGATCCTACCTGGCCTTGTGTTTTATTTTATCACCACACACACACACTTCATTCTGGACACAACAGCCAGGCTAATCATATTAAACTGTTCAGTCCTACCTTGTTATTTATTACTCCTCTGCTTAACACTCCCCAGTGGTCCCTAGCAGAAATGGCCTAACCCTCATAGACTCTTCAACGTCTCCTCCTATCACTATCCCCTTCCATCAGTGACCTCCATGCTGGTTCTTACACACTCCTAGCACTACTTCCCTTTCAGAGCCTTCGTATTTGCTCTTCCCACTACTTGGAAAACTCTCCTCCCCTTCCCAAGCTTCACACGGCTCAGTCCCTCTTTCCTTCCATGAATGACCCAAATGTCTTCTTTTCAGAAAGCCCTCTCTGGGAGAAAACTTCCACTTTGGCTATGACCTTGTCTAAATAAGATCAGAGTCCACGAACTCAAAAGGCTTCCATAGCCTTGGCAATTCATAACAAGAGCCTAGGGAGATTACTGACGCCATAAACAAGAGTGTCAATTTGTTAAGTCAACAACAGGAGTCACTGTGCACTTACTCCTCATGTAGGATCTCTGTCCTTAATGTGTTGTTCAATGTGAATTAATGCTATAACTAGTACTCAAACAGTATTTTACACTTTATGTTCTGTGTGGGTGCAAACTGTTGAAATCTTTACTTAATATATACTAAATCGATCTGTATATAAAGATAATTGAAAATGAATCTTGATGTGAATGGAATGGGAGAGGGAGCGGGAAATGGGAGGGTTGTGGGTAGGAGGAAAGTTATGGGGGTGGGGGAAGCCATTGTAATCCACAAGCTGTACTTTGGAAATTTATATTTATTAAATAAAAGTTTTTTTTAAAAGCCCTCTCTGGTCTGACCACCCAACATAAACTAGCACCTCCATGTCACTCCCTGCTCCTTGCCCTGGTTTTCTTTTCTTTAAGATTTACTTATTTATTTGAAAGTCAGAATTACACAGAGAGAAAAGGAGAGGCAGAGAGAGAGAGAGAGAGAGAGAGAGAGAGAGGTATCTGCCATCCACTGGTTCACTCCCCAACTGGCCACAGGTCTGCCACGCGGGTGTTCAGGGGCCCAAGGACTTGGACCATCTTTCATTGCTTTCCCAGGCCATAGCTGAGAGCTGGATCAGAAGCAGAGCAGCCGGGACTCAAACCAGTGCCCACGTGGGATGCTGGCACTGCAAGCGGCAGCTTTACCTGCTACGCCACAGTTTTCTTTTTTAACCCTCATGATTTCCTAACATATCATATATTGCCTTGTTTTTTCTTCTCTTTCTGCTACCCTCCATTAGAACAGGAATCTCTGCCTGCTTTGTTCCCTGCTATATCCCCAGAATCTATAGTAGCGCTTAACACATGGTAAATGTTTGTGGAATAAGAAAGACTCTTTTCTGGAAATAAAGTAACTCTGTACGTCAAAATTCAGTCATGGTTACTAAGATTCAAGTCTGAGACCTACAAGGGACAAATCAAGTACTGGAATTACGTTGGAATTGGGTTGTACACTATACTTACCAATAGCTATGGACCGTTAGCCGAAGCCAATCCTTGCCATTCCATTAAGATTTTTGTTTCATACCATGTTGAGTTACAATGAGATTATATCTAAATGCCATTTCTACCATTCAGTTTATTATGGTGATAAAAACGGGCCTTACTGCCTTCATTTGACTTTGGCCCAGAGAGGTTTAGGGATTTACCCCATGAATCCAGTCTTTCCGAGGAAGAGTTAAGAAAAGGACATAATCCCTGACCAAGTCTTCATGTTGCTTTTTTTTTAATTTTCAATAATGATCTACACAAGAACAGAAAGACCTGGGCACACTATCAATGTAAGTGGTGAAAACTGTTGATTATCAACCATAAGGGACATTTCCCACAGAATTTCTAAAGTAATTCCACGTTCCAGAGGTTCAGATTAACTGTTCAGCTCTAACTGCCATATCCCCAATGTTTGGCACATGCTCCACTCATGTGTGCTGAGCAAATGAAATTATCAGCTACACAGTGAAGAAACCTACTAGAAAAACAAGTGCCTCTTCCCCCAGTAATAGTTGCCCTCATCTCCTGCATGGGTCACAGCCTTGGGGTCATTTATCTCCACAAATAGCAACACACACACATACACAACATTCCTTGAAGGAGAATAAAAAGAAACTTCTACACATTGCATCCATAGCTGAGTAGACAGGTGCTTCCTAGCCAGGTGAAGAGCAAGGGAAAAGTTGCCAGCTCATAGTTTGCTTTAGTACTTCCAGAGGCATCATAATCACAGACACACACACACCTGTGTGGACAGAGCTCCATTTACAGAAGCAAGTAAACAAATACATGCACTTTAAATTCACTTCAGAAACAGGCAGGATGAAAATCATAAATAAATTTTTATACTTAAAAATATACATGTTGGGTTCACCAAGCCTACTCTCAAATATACACACATATTGTATACACACATTCAAAAAGATATTTGCTTCAATGTGTGACTATGATGTGTAAATGAGATTATGTGAAGTGCACAATAGTGACTGGTACACAGAAGGCATGCGAATAAAGGTTAACTCTTGATTATATATACAGCATATATGTACCTGTGCTTGTTTCTGTAGTACATATATGCATGAATAAACTTGTGTGTATATATACATACATATACATATATATACACACCAGAATCATGTAAATATCCATCATCAAAGCAAAATTTATTTTCAGTCATTGCTCAAAACATCATGGAAATGCCGATGTGTGGAGCCAACAAAAGAAGTACTATGGGGTGTCCTGTTACAGTGCAGGGGCAGAGGAGGTGGAACCCTGCTGGTAGAATGCCAGTAAACAATATTTTGTAGACTTCCTCACTGGATAGAAGACCTGGAGAGAACTGGGTGTTGAGAACTAATCTATGAAAACCTGTCCTCCTAACCCTCAAAGAAGGAATTCCTGGGGCTGTGGCTCAGCAGGTTAACACCCTGGCCTGAAGCGCCAGCATCCCATACAGGCACCAGTTCTAGTCCCTGCTACTCCTCTTCCCATCCAGCTCTCTGCTGTGTCCTGGGAAAGCAGTAGAAGATGGCCCAAGTCCTTGGGCCCCTGCACCCATGTGGGAGACCTGGAAGAAGCTCCTGGCTTCAGATCAGCACAGCTCCAGCCATTGCGACCATCTGGGGAGTGAACCATCGATGGAAGACCTCTCTCTCTCTCTCTCTCTGCCTCCCCTCTCTCTGTGTAACTCTGACTTTCAAATAAATAAATCTTTATTTAAAAAAAAAAGGAAGGAATTCCTAAAGTTACTGGTTAAGGGGAAAGCTTTGTCCTCTCTCAGTAGCCTTGGAAGGGAGAGCCAGCAGAGTTCCAGAGAGTTCAAATCAGCCAGAAAATCCTGCAGAGGTTATTAATCCACTAAAGTCCCGTAGCCTGGAGAAAATCTGATTAACTCTACCTCCACAGATGGGCTCTAACATGAAATGTATAGCTGGATTCTGAGACTCAAATAAAGTGGGGGAAAAGAGAGGGAGGCAGGATAAAGGGAAAGCAGGGGATGCATGTAGGAAGCACCAAATACCTGTGTGTAGGATTTAACTCTGTTGGTAGAGCCAGCTACAGGCTCTGAAGCTCAGTTTCCACAGCTTATCAATTCTGAATAAAACTGTCTCTTGTCCATTTGGGAAACAACACATCTTCCTTCTCTCCCAAAAGGGTGCCAGCCAGGGCAGCTCCTCTTGACCCTGGAAACTGATCAAGAAACCTCTCCCTGTATTTTCCTGCAGCAAGGACCTGGAGAGAGAGACTGCCTCTCTCCACCCGATTTTTTTAGAAAACCTCTTCTTTCTTTCCAGGGCTAAATATTGTAACTTCAGAGCCCTCAAGAAATTCAGAGGTCTGGTTCAACTCTGCACTTTTTAAATGATCAACAGCCCAGAAGCACTCTGCACAGGCTGTCTTCCTCAAATGCAACTACACTCTTTAAAATCCAAGGCAATACTTTGAAAGGCCTCAAGGGATTAACTCCTTACCCCCGCCCACCCCACAGCCTGCTCGCCGCCAAGAAGCTGGGACTAAGGGGGAGGAAGGCCGGTGGTGCCCAGCACTCTAAGCGTTAAAACCAACCCCAGAGCCTAACACGCCATTGGCCCAATGCAGGGAGAAGATCTAGTTTTCGCAGCCGCGGGCCAATGAACACCTCGAGTGGGAGGGTTTGAAGATACTAAGGAGTTTTCCCCCCTTTTTTCCCTCTCCACCCCCTCCCGTCGGCCATCGCCCCCCCCCCATCCCTACGCCACCAGTTTGTTAAATTAATGCAGTAAGAAAGTCTAGAGATCTGGAGGAGTCCTGGCCAAACGAAGATGGGCACACTCAGAAAACCGAGACGTCTCTGAAACCTTGAGGAGGCTCCTAAGCCCCACGGGGTAGCCATGGACCCCAGCAGCCCCTGAAACTTGCCCTGGGCTCTCGCACGGCTGCAGCCCCGAGCAATGGGACACCTTTCCTGCATCGATCATAACTTATTCGGCGGGGACCAGAGAACAGGGATCGGCGCAAGGCAACAACAGACCGGAACGGAGGCAGGGGCACGAGCTTCTGGGACTCGGTCGCGATGCGACAGCCTGGCACCCTCTGCGAGATTTAACTGAAGGCAGCGCCGTCCACCGCGTTCCCCTCGCCCCAAAGCCCCGCAGGCAGCCCCAGAGCCAGCAAGCCCTGCTCTCTCCACCCAAGATGCTCGCCCACTCCAGCGGTCCGAGGCCAGCGCTCTGATCGCCTCTGAAGATTTTTTTTTTTTTTTTGCCCTTGCATGAAGCTGGCCGTTTAAACAGAAAAAACAGGGGTAAAAAAAAAAAAAAGAAAAAGAAAATATACCCACCCCCAAACGTGCCTCCCCAGCGCCGCAGGGAGCCGACAGACACGCCGGAGTTTAGCAAACAGCTGTACTCTTCGCGCTCCTGAAAAGCAGGGCTGGACGCTCTCCGTGGTGCTGAATCGCGTCGCGGCCGCCTCTATCCGTGGTACCCGCGGCCGCCTCTATCCGTGGTACCCGCGGCCGCCTCTATCCGTGGTACCCTCAGCCGCCTCAAGCCGCGGCCCCCGGGGCTCTCGCTCCGCACCCCTGTTCCCCATCGCCCCTGAACATCTGGATTATTTTTTTCAATAGCGCTGGTTTTGTAAGTGCCAATTTGAAACATTTTTGCCCCCTCCCCATAAGTCGTGGACTACAAAGCACAAGGACCTGAAAAATGTACAGCTTCAATACTCTTCGACTCTACCTTTGGGAGACCATTGTATTCTTCAGGTATGCAATTTTCTACTGACCACATCGCTCTCATGGAAATGGGGGGAAGGAGTGCGGATGCTGCCCGTGCCCGTGGTCCCATCACTGGGGGCGAAGGGGTGCTGTGTACCGCTGCAGTCGGGTCCTCCCTCCCCCGCCCCCTCTTCGCCCATCCGCCCCCCCAACCCCCGCCCGCAGGGTGTCTGGCTTGTGCGTGGAGGTCTGAGACAGGCGCTGCTCCGGCAGCTGTTTGCCTGTTCCTTGTGGTTTGCTTGTCCTTCCACCGGCTACTACCCCTCAATACAACCCCCCGGGGGGCCCCTGCATATCAGCTCTCGCTTGGCTGAGGACTTTAAGGGGAAGCTTTAGGAGTTACTCAGTTTAATTAGGACTGCATTCTCTCTAACCGCAGTGCCGAAAACCTCAGCTCTCCCGTCTGAGAGCCAAGTGACAACTAGCGGTGACGGGGAAGGTTGCACTCGAACTTGCTGGACACAGAACATTTCATTTTCTCTCCTTTTTTGTTGTTTTCTTTTTTTCTGCGGGGGAGGGAGAGGGGTTTCTGAGGCCTGGTGCTTGGAGACAATAGTGTTACGACCCCGGTTTGCAAAAGCCTGAACTTGGATGCAGGAGAGATCTATTTAAGAACAGATACTGGGAAAACATTTCCCTTTTGAAACTTTGGCTCTCTCTTTTGCTTCACCCACCTTTCAAAACTCTACTTTGTGTGCAGCAGATGCTGAACCAATGGAAAATTCTTTTTGTTTTGTTTCTTAATCTATGTCTATTTCTGGTTCAATAGCTGAGTTGCCCCTAACCACTGTCAGATTAAAATTTTCAGCCTATAGGCTTGGCATTCTTATGTTAGTACAAGTGAAAAGTGAAAAATTGTATCTTCAGGTAGCACTGAAATAGATGGTTCTTTTTTAAGTGGGTGAATCATGCTGTCTTCAGATATGCTTATGATAAATTCCATTAACATGAGTTGAAAAAAATCACTCTTTTTCCATGACCTGCAGGGATAATTAATCTTCCTTATTTTAGATGCCTGCCTCTTGTGTATTGTATTAGCTTGGCATTGGATTAATAGTCATTCAAAAAATATACTCCAGTTGTTCTCGAAAATAAGTGACCACCAAATATTATCACCTCCCATCATAAAACAGAACATAATTCTGCTTTCATTTGACTACATATAAACTATGGGTTTGATGAGTCCATCAGTCCCTGTATTAAATGAATGACACCTCCTCCAAATTGTAAATGTCTGTAAGCCTCTCTTCATGTACTTCTCTTGAGATGAAGAAGATCCCCCTTCTCTGAGATACCTCGGGCTAAAGCTTCTAATCTCCAGTATAAATAATTCTGTGATAGGCCACAGTCCTGAGCACAGGTCAGAATGTAAATAGTCAAGGAGTCAGACAGAATGAAAAAAGTACAACAATCCAGGGTCTAGTGAAATGTAACTACTTTATGGGGGAATTATCCTATTAATATCAGATTCTTTCTTCTCTGTGTACCTGGTAAAACTGTAAAATGCTGTGGAGGTAGGGTATGTGGTAACATTTGTATGCAAATTGATTCTCTATTTGTCTTACCAGAGACAGAACTGAACCAGAGAGATTAAAGAGCAAATTAATAGGACCAAGCACATCATCCCCCCCACTACCCTACACACTCAAGTCCTTTTTTTCTTGATGAACAGTATGCAATGCTGGATCTCCTGTCAGACACTGTCATTCAGGAAAGGGAGACTTGGTCTAAAACGTCTGCATTGTAATCATTTGGATAAGGTTAGGAATCTCCTCTGTTAATTCTGCAAGTAAACTGGTGGTAGCCTGTCAGAAAACGCCACTCTACATCTCTTTTTCTTATGTGTGTGACGGCACACATGAGCAACAATGGATGTGCGATAGAATCCCATGTGTTTAAAAGAAGAGTGATGACTATGGAGATTTGGAAAGGCAGTTGTATCATTTGTGCTTTCAAAATATAGGAATAGCTACTTCATTTGAGAAGTGAATGCTCACTTTTGAAACACAAAGTAAGAAAAAGATATATTCAACTAGCAAAATACCCTCAGCAATTTTTCAGACAGATTTTTTTAAAAGGTCACAAATGGGTTAAAGTGAGTAGGTTATCTTTGTTCAATTGATATTTTCATTTCTAACTCTGATTTTTTTTCTGTTCTATGTGAAAACACAGAAGCAGTAAAATCTGGGGGCTCAGTACACTGTATGTAAGGGTAAATGAAGGCTGGCAGCTCCCTGCTAGGTTCCATGTGAATAACCCCTACTCCCCCAAGGGACAGCACTGAGTTGGAATAAGCAAATCCAATCATCTCAGGCACCCAGGTCCCCCTTAGATTAGATGATGCCAGCTGCTCACCTTGCTGGGGAAAAAATTGGGGGCTAGGAAATGTTCTCAACAACAGAAGTGCTGCTGCATTACCACATAACCAGTGAGTGACAATAACCACTGCAGAACAAACAACAATTGAAATGAATAGGGCAGAAATCTCATATGGTGCCAACACAGGGAACAAATTGAGGCCTTAGAAAGGGGTCCTGGTTGACAAGCAGCATTGCAGTTTCTCATCAGCTGTGTCACCAAAAGTAAAACAAGGTGATATGGCTGAAGTTCCTGCTGTGGTGTTTAAAAACCTGAAGCCCTAAAATCCTTTAAGACACATTCTGGATTTCAATAAGCTGAATTTTGTCTCCGTGTCTTCAGTTAAGGATGGGGTCTTACACCTAGACTAGAAAAATAATAGGCAAAGGTCTTTTATTTAATGGTAGGAGCACATTCTCTCAAACCTCCTGTCAAACCAAAGGGAACTTGACTTTGATCTCCAGAGCCCATACAGAGGCCATGGGCTGGAGCAGGCCCAATAGGATCCCAAAATTCTTCCGTCTTCTGCGTAACTCGGGCAGACTCATGGTGTATAACCGTGCTTCTCAAGCTCTGCATTACCGGCATTTTGAACTGGTAATTCTTTGTTATGAATGCTGCCCTATATGCTGTAAGATGTTTAGCAGCGTTCCTATTGCTAGTAACACCCTTTCCCTAGTCACAACAAGTCCAAAAAAAAAAATCTTCAGACATTGCCAAACATCTGTAGAGGGATGTGAGAGGGGGGAAGATAAAACTTCCCAGTTTCAAACTACAGCATAGAATGACCAAATTTTTAATCAGTCGCTTTGATGTACCAATTATAATGAGTAGGAGGAAAGTCTCACTTCCTTGAGAAAATGCACTTGTGAAACATACAAAGCACTACAGTGAAACAACAAGGAGCCTTGCTAATGCTTGAGAAGGGGACAAAGGCAAGGAAAGAAACCAGGTCTTGTCCATGGGTGGTTTTCCCAGAAGATCAGCTTTTCCTTATGCAACACCTCCATCTCCCATCCCATTAGATGCTTCCTTTGCACAGGGTCTTGTCCTGAGTATGACACTCAATAAGAAAGAAGTTTCTATCCACACTCACATAAAAATGAACATGGTAAATACATCATTTCATATCTTGGCCCTAAAAGCCTACCCAGGTAGAAGGCAAATGACCTTTTCACTCTTGTGGTCCCCCTCTTCCCTGGACTCCAAGTTTGGCAATGATGACCTTGATCTTTTCCACCTGGTAGTAAAGCTGTCCTCTGCCTGAAATCTGCTGCATTTGGGGCATCACAGAAAGCATCTAGGAGTGTCTGAAATGGACTTCCCTAAGGAAGGAAGTCTCTTGAGTAAGTTTGCATTGGGTCCCATCAGTTCACCCTCTTTGGGGGTTGAAGAACATTAAGACAAAGAAAAGTTCATGATTTTGTTCCCAAGGGACAGTCTGGAAAGGGCCCCTAGGCTGGTAAGAGGAGTTATGAATCAGCATACTTCTACATACTTGCAAAATCGGTAATGACTATCAGGGGATATTCAGGGAATTAATTTTTGAGGCTGCCTTATGAAAGAGGTGATGCACCATGTGGTGCAGTCGAAAGAGCTGTTGGGCCACAATTTGAGAGCCCCTGCTTCTACAGCCAGCTCTGCTCCCATCCTACAGCATAGCCATAATAAAACAAGTCTCTTAGACTTGTGGGGATTCAGTTTTCTTACCAATCAACACAAATGTCTGGAACTTGACACTTCTAGGTTCCCTGCAGTCTCTAGTAAGGGCTTTATCAATGCAGGGCCCATGACCACAAGGCTCAGGGTGAGTTGGCTTAGGTAGTGATGCTGCCTTCCTTTCTTTATCAGACACTTATCTATCATGGATATGTGTGTCCTGGCCTAAATGAGGCACTCTGCAGGGACAGAGGCCCCAGCAGCCGTCCTTGCACAAAGAGGAGGCAGTATTTTTTTTTTTTGACAGGCAGAGTGGATAGTGAGAGAGAGAGACAAAGGTCTTCCTTTGCCATTGGTTCACCCTCCAATGGCCGCCACGCTGCAGCCGGCGCACTGCGCTGATCCGAAGCCAGGAGCCAGGTACTTCTCCTGGTCTCCCATGCGGGTGCAGGGCCCAAGGACTTGGGCCATCCTCCACTTCACTCCCCGGCCACAGCAGAGAGCTGGCCTGGAAGAGGGGCAACCGGGACAGAATCCAGCACCCCGACCGGGACTAGAACCCAGTGTGCCGGCACCGCAAGGCGGAGGATTAGCCTAGTGAGCCACGGCGCTGGCCTGGCAGTACTGTTTTTAAACACATATTGCACACCTTTCTTCCCTTCTCTGAGGGCCTATGGCGCTCCTGTCCAGGTTGCCTGTGTGCACATCTCATGACAGCATCACATTTATGTGGGTGTCATTATCTTGACTTCCTTCATCAGTTGGCAGAAAGCAGAATGATTTTCAAGATGGATGGCACTGTCTCCCTGCCTGGCAATCTTGACATTGTTCAGCAAGCTTTAAGGTATGCTTTAAGCAAAGCAGCCTTGGCCCAAGTGGCTGGAGACCTGGGATCTAGAATTTAGCAAGCTACATGACCTTGAAAGGTGCCATGACCCTTGGGGCCCTCACCTTCCTCAACTACAAAAAGA